GTTTAGTTTTGCTTCCCCGGTTTAAACTCCTCCTCTCCTTTCTTTGTTTCCCAATCAAGTTGTCCGTGTTACCAGGAATAGGTTTGAAATGATGAAACGGTCCCTTGAAGGACGAAAATGAGGATCCGCTGGCACGTGCACACCACAGCGCAAATAACCTGCCTGTGAAAAGAGAGTTTGGATCGTTCGTCCATTCTGTGGCCTTTCAAGAGGCGACTATAAAAATTCACCTTCATACTGCCTGAGAAGACGGAAGCAGCTTGCCTTTGCGCGGTTCTCACGCTGCCTCACCGTATACGTTGACTTGATGAGTCGCAAGCGCAATATGACGACACCACGTGCAGCATCCCAAGAATGGTCAGAAAGGAGACACCTCAGTGCTGATGAATGCGCGCACAAGCCCACAGCACGCCACAAACAATTTGCCTTTGCTGTCAGTCAGTTATGTCAGAAAACAGGTCAGGGTTCAGGTTGGTTGACATGCTAAACCAAAAGAAGATTGCATGAAGAAACACACAATACAAAAGTTGGAGAGACAACACGGTCTCCAAAATTTGAGGCTGATTTTTGATTGTGCTGCAATTTGACGATTTGGCCCGCGTGGGCTCGTACAATTCGTGCATGTGCTTTTTTTATTTTTTTTCTTGAGTAAAGCATCAAACTTGCCATAATAAAGTTGACTTGTAGAATACATTAATGTGTTATGTCTGTTGCAACTGGAACAAACAACGACTTGCCTGGCCTGCGTAACACACTTTTATTTCTAGCTTTAATTTTATTTTGAAACAAAACAAATACAAATGTGATGTGTACAAAATGATAAAAACGACACTAATCACGTGAGGAGCGGAATTAGGACCCAGAAGCAGACATGACACGCAAGTAAAAGTCTTTATCGATGAAAATACAAAGTAACTACGGAGAGCAGGGCTGGATGCAAAAGACACGGAAGAGAGCTGACACTCGGCTCGAAAGCCCGCCGTACTGACAACGTGTCACTGAGTCATGCAAGCTTAAATACTGGAAGACAGAATTAAAGGTAAGATAATAAAGGCCCTTAGCAAGAGCGATTGACACATCAAGGAACAACCGGTCACAACATACATATTAAAGCCCGCTATTTTTCTTTCCTTTTTGGGAGTCAAAAGTTTGTTTTTTTTGAAACTGCAAAATACTGGTCTGGCTTGCGTACACCAACAACAAAAATCTCTCTTATTTGTTGTTGTTGTTTGGCGTGCATCTTGATCTATCAGCTGCAGTGGCTGACCTGCACGCAGCAAAAGCACGGCATCAAACGGAGGTGAGCCGAGATCTCGGTGATGAGACGAACCCAAAAAAACGAGACGGTGCTTTCCCCGAAGCTCATCCTGAGATTACACCTGATTGGCCGAGGCGGTCGCACCAATTATTTCAATTCCCTTCAGATTTGTATCGTCAAATAGAGAGGCGCAACCGACGCGACTTCCTTCCTCCGCGACAACTTCCAAGGGGACTCGCAGGAAATGGGAATCAGATGGCGATTAGACCGTCGCGAGCGCCTTCGGAAGGCCTGCGGTGCGCCTCGCGGTGCCGGTGACCTGCAGACATGGGGAAATCCGCCGATGCGGCGAAAATGCTTTCTCCAAAGAACTCATCTTCGTATTGGTCTTTGGACATGACCGTGCTCAACGTCTTGATCGAAACATATTGTCGTTTGTAAAGATGAATTGACATTTCACTTTATTCAGTTCACCTGTAAATAGGTTCCGATGTGCATCCAAAACGCTTGACCTTGTCTCTCCTTACATTCCATATCTTGGAATGCTTTCAGAGTGATCCTGACAGGAGTAAATAAAGATGAATGGCCCCTAATTCCAAACTCTTGGGATTCTTCAAGTGTTCCACCCGCTCCTACCCCGCCCCAGTGGCGTGAAAACCGAAACGAGGCGGTTGGCGCAGAGCGCTAAATGATGAAACGTGTCGGAACAAGACGGATATTTTCGAGCAGTGCATTTTTTTCCTCCTCTGCTGGAGACGAGCGGCTGTCTGTTTGGCCCAAACGCACACACACACACACACACACACACACACACACACACACACACACACACACACACGCACGCACGCACGCAAGTATGCGAGCATACGTTCAAGCGTACACTTACACACACTGGTGTAATCACACATTCAGTCTTGTATTCAAGTTTGCTCATGCATGCAAAAGGGCAAAAAAAAAAAAACAAACACTCACCGCCACCCCCCCCCCACACCCACACACACCCACACACGTTCATCTGTACCCAGCACCTATTTTGTTTCCAAAACCCTTGACAGAAATCAAAAGTTATGAATCCTGGTGGCAAGGTGCTTTGAGACGTGATCAAGACGTGCGATACGAAGACACGTTACTTGACCTCGAGTGTCTCATACCAGCAACAGTACACACAGTTACTCCCACGCCCCAAAACAGGAGCCAAGTCGGCATCGTGCACCACGTAGCACGCAGGGGGGTCAAATTTGAGGCCAATTAGCCGCCAAAGACGACCTTGACGTCATTTTTTTTACAATTTATCTGGCCCATTAACGCTTGACACCATTTTTACTTGACGTCTGTTCAAAATTAGCCATAAAAATGATAAGAACCGAACGCAGCGGCAAGCTGTTGTCTGAACTGAGGCAACCGGACCTTTCTTCTTTGTTAAAGCTATTTCGTGAGAATTGTAAACCACGTAAAGTTTTTCAATGACGTATCGTCACAAAGATTTGGCCCGAGAGGTCGTGGGAAGAAGCGAGTTCACTCCCAAGACAAACCAAATTGAAGCTCCAGAAAGAAAAGAAACGGAGCTCAGGTCTCGAATCTCGTCGACCGGAACCAGGTGATTTTCTTCACCGAGAAACAGTTGCGCGCACCAGATTATTTTGTCACGGTCTCGCAACTGATATCGTGTTTGATGACCGCACGTGGTCCCAAACTGCCACGAAAGTCAAGCACCCGTTTGAAAACGTCTGGCCTGTTCATGGAGCTGAGGGACACGCTTTAAATCTACGATTCATATTACAACGTACATTTGGAGGCCACGGCGAGCGGCGTCGCTCCTCCTCGGACGCATCGCGGGACGCCACGAAGAGCAGCAGTTGCGCACTGTAAACATGCTGAGATATGAGCTTTATCGCCGTCCCATCTCCCGCATCTGCCACGGCTCACGCTCCTTCTCCCTTGCGTGTCTCCTTTTGTGTGTATTGTTATCGCATTCACGTGCCAGTTTGCGCAGTGGTGGTTGCATCAGCACAACGGTTGCCTCTGTCATGGAAGTCACGCTCATTTAAACTCGCTCACCCACTTTTGTTTGTTTTTTTTTTTTTGTTTTTTTTAACTCTATGCCGGAAAGGCAGGTGCGTTTTTGCTGGCACCGTCACAAAAAAAAAAAAAAAGAGAGAAGACGCTTGTTTTGGACCTTCATGCTTCGTGAAGCTTCATATTTGCCGTGGTTGGATTTGTCGTCGCCGCAAACGCATCACGAGTTCAAACACTGAGCACTTTATTCAAATGTGTCCGACTGGTTCGAGGAACAACGCGCGCAATGTACACAAATGCAGCCTGAGGACATTAATTCTTCACCCTGTTCTTCCTTTCATTCAACATTTCTGTCTGCAGTTCAAATCAAATGATTTTCTCTCCGGGTTTGAAATCAATTCGTCGAAATATTTGTACTAGAAACAAAGACAAAACAATTGACGCAACCTGCATCCGAATATGATCAAGATGCTTTTTTTTTTTTATCTTGGACAAAGACATGCTGGTAAGTGCAAAGGGTCGAATACGATAAATTTTGGTGTTAGTGCACTCTAAGCATCCGATCAGTTTCATTTTCACAAAAAAAGTATTTAAAAAAAATAAATCAGTGATTTCCTTTTCACAAACTCTCAAACTGTTGTATCTACTATATTTTTCTCTTTCGTTCCTTCTCGGGGCCGTTATGCTGGTTGTTGGGCACCCTTGGTGTCCAATATCATTGTTAACGAGACAAGACTGAGGGCCTGATGAACGAATGCATTGTGCGTGCAAAAACTTGGGAACATAATCAATGCTCACGCAAACAGGTAAGACAAAATTGCGATGGATGATTTTGCGTCTTGAAGTAGCGCATCCGAAAGGCGGGTGCAGACAAGCAAGCAGAGTGGCATCAGATGTTCCAGAAACAAAAATTATTGCAACATACTCTCCAGTCAGCAATGAAATTTTGGGTCTTCTGAATGACTAAGGGAGCAGATGGAGCCAGTCTCAAGAAGGAGTCATGCCAAAGAGCACAGTGTGCACAATCCGTTACGCAACTTGGTGGCCCTCCATTTGTGATCGTTCGTGAATCGGGGCACGGGAAACACACCCAGGAAAAAAATGCGTCGAATCTCAAAAGGCAACCCCCAGACACACCCCATCCAAAACTCCATAAACTGGAACTTGGAAATCCTGTCGCTGAAACTGGGACTTCCAACTTCTGGTGCCACTTTCCAACAAAATGTGAACCTGTTGGACATTTGTCCGCCAATATGGTCTACTTCCGATCCCCATTCATTCCCAATGGGCAAACAATAACCCTAAGACCAGCCCTAAAGTAACCCTGAACTCGGGGTAGGCAAGACAGTCGCAGTCCTGCCCGTTTGCCTCCAGTCTCCGACCTCCACCCTAAAGCTAACCCGAACGCAAAACCGTCTTTGACCCCTTAACTCTTCTGGGAAGACACCACCATGACACAACAAATTGTGTGACAACCTGGGCCTTTTTTGTTTGTTTGTTTTTGTGTTTTTTTTTTGCACAGCATTGCATTACAATTCCTGAAAATAAACACAGATGTCCTTTATACGTGTCCGTCATAAAAGCACCGAGGTGCAAAGTGTTACTTCCAGTTGCTTAAGTGTGTCCTTTCCCACAGCGGGATGAGTGCATCTCCCTTTCCACACTCAGGCACGCACACACACACACACACACACACACACACACACACACACACACACACACACACACACACACACACACACACACACACACACACAAAAGCTGCGCTGCACGCTGCAAACAAGTCTGGACCAGCTTTGTATCTCATCCTCCTCTCTGGATAAACACATGCAGGAAATGAATGTGGTTTCACAATGATTCACTCCATACTGGAAGCATTTGCTGTCAAAGAGCTCCATTCAAAGCGGCTTTGGCTTTGCGTGTTTCGCTTGAGATTTTTCTCTTTTGCTGTGGCACCGGCGCACTCTTTTTATTTGGCTGCTTTCGGACCTCTGAAATGCACATTGGCCAACTGAGATGTTTAACTTTGAACAGTCAATAACAGCAACCAACTACAAAGTCATTCATCATTCATCCGCGGCCTGTCTCTCATTAATTTGTCAGCAAGTCATTCTGAATCTCGTTAGATCGTAATCAGCAGTGCTGTTAATTTCAAGCACGTGATGGCGCCCCCAATGCACCCACACACACACACTGATTTTCTCCTCCCATGACAAAGCAGCTTGGCTGCCTGAAAAACTGCCCCTTACGAGCCATCGACAGACGGCGAGGAGCGGAACTTTAATCCGTCCCGAGTCGCTACCACGGCGACGCCGTACACTCATTTACATTAGACAGGACTGCCCCCCCTCCCGCCCTCTCTCAGAACAAGCTAATTTCAGCTGAATTCTTGGGGTGAAAAGTTTCGTGTAGCTCTCAGTTCTTGGGATGGTTTGAGCAAATCATATCACAATCCTTCACTTTCATTCTTCCTCTTGACACAATAAACCGGCGGGAGATCGGGGTTCGGCGGGTAGGTAACTGCGGTCCCAGAGAGCCGCCGCACTCCTGCTTGTTTTCGAAGCTCAGCTCATCAGCGGGCTCCGTATAAAGCCCGATAATGATCCTGATCGTTCGAATCAGGTGTGTCGGTGTAGGGAAACCTTTCAAGCGAGCAGGACTGCGGCTCTCTCGGACCGCAGTTGCCTACCGCAGCAATAAAGCAAATATGCTTGCGTCTCTCTGGTATTTGTGCAGCCGGAGTCAAAGCACCTGAGGCCAAAACTGAAATGGCGGCGTACAGCTGTTTAGCGACTGACAGCCACGATAATGTGCTTTACCTTTAGTTGAACCGTGCAGACCCATGGCCACTGGTGTACACACACACACACACACACACACACACACACACACACACACACACACACACACACACACACACACACACACACGCGTACAGTGCATGCTACACAAGCCCGTCTCCAGGACAACTCCCGAGCGCGGTGACTCGGAAGTGTCATATATTAGTGTCCGGAGGTAGGAGGTCAACTCTCTCGAAAGCAGGATTAGCTAGGGCTAATGCTAACCCTGACGCTAAAGCTAACCAGACGTGGGTGGGCAAAGACTACATTTACCCCATTCCACGATTAAGGCTTTTGGGATAAATTGTACTTGCTGCGACACACTTTACTTTTACGTCAGTGATTTTATTGAGACGGAGCACGACTTTTACTCTGTTACATTGAGCTTTATTCCACTTGCTAACTTGATTTGTGTACGTTCTCATCAAGTCTTTCCGTACAGTAAACGACAGCCCACCGCGGTTTCCGGGTTCAAACCAAGGTTTGACTCCATTTCATCAAGCAAATGGAGCCAGTCGGTCATCGTTTGTTGACTTTTTTTTGATCAAATGTCGTTTTTTGTCAAGTTTTCCCTGCTCCATATATCTCTCAATCAGCTCCCTCCAGCTACTCGTGTCGATAAATTCTTCTGGTTTTATTTCACTCTTCAATCACTGTTGCTGTCGTCAACCACATTCATCCTTTTCTTTCCTTTTGTCATGAATGTATTGTGTTTCTTTACACTTTTTTTGTTGTCGTTTTAAAATGTTTGTTCACATCGTAATTTTTTAGTGATACGGGTGTCTTGTTCACCTTGTCTTGTAAATAAATCTATTTTCTAGAATATTCCTAATACCTGGTTTTGGGCCCACATTTTTGCCTACACGCCAACACCTCAATTATGACAGTCGGTAACCTGGCCGCACCCAAGCCTCTGCAGCAACACACAGAATCAACGTTTTCCAAGTGAACGATGTTCATGAAAGGCAACAGAAACACTGGAGGAAACAACAGCGTGTGGTTCTCAGAAGAGGCACAACATTGGTGTCATCACCTTCAACTTTGTGACAAGTAACTCACTGCCTACCTTAGTGGGAGACCTGACACGGAGGCACTGGTCGGGACGCTTTTTTTGCAGCGTGTTAAATGAATAAATAACACCATCGTAGCACAAGTGAACCCTTTTAAGATGCTTCCCCTGGCACTCCATATTCGCATTTTTTTTTTTTTTTTTTGCCAGGGCCATCGGTGAATTGCAGATGGAACAAACTGAATGAGCAGGGGGGAAATAAATATATCGAACCAGCTCTGAGCGCAAAGTGCAATTACGGACTGCTGACCGCTAATAACTTCCGGTGACGGAGGTCACTTGCCACCGTAGGTTAAAGGTGACCTGCTTTTTTATTAAATTTTATTTTGTAGATACTTTTTTGCTAACTTGAAACGATTAGGAGGCGCAGGGTTCACAAACACCAAAATATATAATATTAATAACACGCACACAGACACGCAAATATTTTTTTTCCTCATATACTAAGCGAAAAACTTGGTCCGCACCCCTGCCTTATACAGGCTACACACACGACCAGCGCTGTCAAAAGAATATACACGTTTCAGCCTGCACTCGCAAGAACTTCACTTGGAGCTTAATAAAACACATTTTGGTTGGAAATCTCATTTCGGCCCGGTGAGCCTATTGTGCCGAAAGAAGGAAATGTTTAAAAAAAAAAAGGTTGCTGCGTACCATCCAGTGTGTCGCAAACAACGACAGCATCGTCAGAGCCGCAGAAGTGGATGACAAAGTTCGTTCAGCTGGAAGCCCACATTTGCGCAGTTGCTATCTCGTGACCAGCAGTGCGTTCGTAATCCTTTGTTACCGACACAAGTCAACACGACCGATTTCAAGGTCTGCAGCGTGGTGACATACGACACAAGTGAACGGTGGCGTGAGCTTGGAGGAGACGCGGTGCGTGACCCAAGCTGCGCAGCTCTGAAATCGCTTGGAGTCTTGTGCTCGGCTGTTGTTATGAGAATTCTTTTTCTTATATAACCCAATTGTCATCATGAAAGCTTGATTTGATTTATTTGATTGTTTTTATGCCTATATAATCATGTCCTAATTAATCACAGAACTGAAGCACTGGCTTTCCTAAAAGGAGACATAGCGCATGAATCATTGTTCACAATTTAAAGTGGTTACCAGATATCTTAATGGATGTGGCGTGCCATGACCAAGAGGAATGGGATTAGGCTCTTGCGACAAGGCAAGCAAATTCTGTTTGAGAAAGCACAGCCCAGAGTGTGGAAGAAAAGAACAACAGAAGCATTTTCGCTTGTGGAGGCAGCACTCCATACATGGCACGCCTTTTGTGTTGATTCGTGTGCAGATTCATGGATGCGGTGCAAGCAGCAAACCTAGCGGCAGGTGTTTTGCTCCCGTGGTCGTCGGGAACAGACCATGTGTGAGAGTCAGACGCAGACGGATCAATAATCCCCCCCCCCCCGATAATCTCTAATCTTAACGCAGTCGACATTGATATATATATATATGGAGCCACTCCCCACGCCCTTGGATGTAAAACAGCCTGGTGGAGGTTTTCCTTGTTGTTCAGTTTAAATAAGGTACTTGTGGATGCTGAGATGAGGTGGGCCTGCCTGGCAGACGATGATGTCACGTTTGACAGCATCCTGGCAGGAAGATGACGCACACGGCGAGGAGGCCTGCGAAGAGACGCGCATTCCCTGAGAACCCACAACATCTGTTGTCTGTGCGCAGAGGAGGAGAGCGGGAGCCGAGGGGGTCCGGTGCTTCACTTGGCCACTAATTGGTTGGAGAAAAGAAATGACCCCCAGCACCCCCCCCCCACTCCCCCCAGCTCCC